CACTTTTTGCATTGGCAGTTATCCCTATGGACGCTAATTAGCATGGGAACCGCCAGACGGTTTTAAACAATGGGATGTGTGCGCATACCTCAACCATATATTTGGCCTAGTGGAGTAGTTATTTAGGTTAGAAAGTGTATGTAAAAACAGATCTCCTCGGTACTCAAATCACATATACACAAGAAGAGTTTATAATATATCGACTTACCACTCCCCCCTCTTCCCCCCAGGCAAATCCAGGGAGATAGATGTGTAGTCATGCTCCTTCTGGACACCAGCAGCACCAGCCTGCGAAGACGCCGCGGGATGGTAATTAGCCGCAAGGGATGAGAAGGCAGACGATTGCCTATTCAATTGCACCCCTCCGAAGGAATTGAACATGCATGGACCAGTTCTCTTCGTTGGCCATGATGGTGATAATTCCTGTCAATGGGTTAGTTGAAGCTAATCGGACATAGGACTGCAAACCCATAGGTCAATCCAAACAGATTCTATAATTTACGAGAAAATAAAAAATGCTAGATACTCACCGATTTCCTCCTCACCGCCCGATATAAAACACCGCTTGGGGCCCTAGGCAGGTTTTTCCAGAAATCAGCATCCCTTTTTCCTGCTCTCCTATCTTGACTCGATCGATTGTAGTTGACCCCACCTTTCTTGGATGGCAAAAGCGGCCCTCCGAACGGCCCCTAGTGATGATGTATTCATGGGAAACAACTGATTGGGCGTTTATATACTTTCAAGACAGTGATGGTGTATGTTTCGCTGTGTGACGATGGCTTGGTTGTGTTCCCAACCCTGAAAAAGTGTCGGAGCTTGGATCGTGGTGTGAGGTTTCGGGTTTCGACGTTTCCATTTTGCCGAGGCGCTGCGACCTGAGGAAATATTTAAATATTTATAACGACTACATTGCTTGTAGATGTTTGAATCTTGACGAGGTTTGTGCAAATCTACTTGTCGTAAAAATACAATCAGATGAATCGTTTATATTTCAGGAAGTAGGTAGGTAAATATATCATAATTTCATATAAAACGTAGCCAGCCTGGGATGAATATGCATGTGTTTTCCAAGATCTATATAGATCCATCGATTCTACAGCGCTGGTGGAATATAAATATATAGACACAAGATAAACAAAATAATCATACCCAAAAACTCACACCTCACAAAATATCTTCAAAAAACCTCCTCCCTTACCCCCCCCCCCAAACTCACAACTTACTCTTCCCCCCCACAACATTAACCAACGCCCTTCCATTGCTCAACACCACCTTCCCTTTCCCATTCTTCACCACAAACCTCACCTCCTCAAATCCATCCTCCATCGTCCCCGTCCTCCACATCTCCGTCACCAGCTTATCACCAGGGATAACAGGGGACGCAAAGCGCGCCTGGAACTCTCTGATATTTCTCGGGTCGCTGCCGCCGAGCTGCTTGAGGATTCCGTGAGCGGCCATGTTCCAGCTGAAGAGGCCGTGGATGATCACGCCGCCGAAGCCCATCTTTTTGCCCGGTTCGGGCGTTGCGTGGAGTGGGTTGTAGTCACCATTTAGGCTGGGTTATGTACTGGTTAGGAACAGTGCGTGCTGTGAGAGAGGGTCTGGGGTAGTTATATTTAAAACTTACCGGTAGAGCAGTGCGGTGCTGGCATCAGTCTGGAAAACGTGAACTGCATCTGGCTGCTTTCCCTCTGGAGGGGGATAGTTCACCGTACTGGGACCTAGTATATAGAAAAGCAAAACATATCAATCTTAGCCCACACCCACACCCACACCCACACCTCACCCCGGAATAGACAAACAGGTAATTACTAACCCTTTGGACCCCCCCAATTCCCCTGCCCAACAAAAAACCCACTGCCCACAGCCTTGGTATAAATCTCTCCACTCTCCTTATCCACAATCTGCTGCTCAGTCTCAACCACCGAGCCGGCCTTGCCCTTATCATAAACGCCCACGACGGAGCTGCGGAGCTCGAATTTGCGGCCCTCGCTGGAGACGGGGAGGGGTTTGAGGAATGTTATTTTGCGCTGGCCGTCGACGACGCGGCGGGTGTCGAAGGCGGGGACGCCGGGGATGGCGTTGCCGGCCTTTTGCGCGTAATAGTCTATTACGTCTGTGTGTTGGAGTTTGAATGCTAGAGGGAGGTTAACAGATAGATATTATATTGGTAAAATTGTTGGAGCCATAAAACGTACGTAGGATGATCGGATATGTAGGAAAGACGGTGAAGTTTGGATGTAATTCCTGCGGGCGTGGGTTCAACTAGATTAGCGATTTCCAATTCCATCCAATATCTCCCCAGTTCCCAGTTAAATTGATGCCATACAAACAAGAAATGCAGCTCATCCGCCGTCGCCCCGATGCTGTTCGCAAAGAGGAGCACATCCCGCTTCGTCCAGCTCACGTCCTGGTTGGGGAATTTGTGTCCGGCTCCGGGTCCGCTCATTGTGGTGGTAGATCTAGAAAGGTGGCTTCGTGGTAGATGATAGAAATTATAATAGTACACGGAGAGGAGGAGATGAGGGCAAATAGAAGAGGCTACGAGCTACATATATCTCCGGATGGGGAGGTGTTTTTGCGGGGGAAGAAGTGCTGCTTAATTAGTTAGTTCGCGACAGCCGGGGCCGAGCTCTTGTGCCGAGGCTTTGGACAAGAAACTACCACAAGAAGCAAAAATATGGAAATCAAACAAGAAACACAACGGTATACTCAAGCAATTAGATTAAAAGCATCGACTCGGGGTATCTACCTAATTAATAACAAATCGAGGAGCTTTGGAAATCGTTATCCTGTCATTTCTTTGCCGTATATTCGGGGACGCCACGCCACAATTAATGCCCTTTTTCCCTTCCAAACCCAACGCCAGCAACCAGATGTCTCTTTTTCTTTTCTTGTCTCTTTTCTCTTTGCGGAAACCACACATGTACTCGCTCACGCATGCACGTAACGCAGCGTCGGGAAATGTGATTATTATGCCACTCATGACGCAATGCCCATAGCATCAAGATAAAAAAAAAGACCGAGCCGGAAAACAAAAAGATCTGATCAAAAAAGTAGTAAATGGATCAAAAATGCAAGAAATGAAAAAAAAAAACGAGAGCCTTTTGGAGAAAGACGATAGATATATCCTTTTTGCAAAACCGGGGCAAAATGTATAAACCAGGCAATCGGCAATCGAAAATAGTTGTTATGTGTAAGGTTATGTTTTAGCACCTATCAAGGGAATTGATTAGTTCATGCTTCGCGGCAGAGATTGGAGATAGAAACCAGCTTACATTTTGTATTCACAGCCGCCCTGTGCGGAGCGCAGCTTATCCTCCGATTCGAAGTCATACGTAATCTTGATGTCAAGATCACGCTTATTCCGCTGGTTAGGCTTGTTCTCCAGGAAACCAGAGACGGTCTCGTTCTCCTGGACGGTAAGTACCTCACGGAGGTAGAAGACGGTCTGCTTCCAGTGAGTGTACTTGGCGTGAGGGCCGGTGGAGAAGCGGATCTGCTTGTGGCAGGCAGTGAAGTCAATGTCGAACCAGGCGATGATGGCATGGATGAAGTCGTTCCGTTTGGCGGTGAGTTGGTAAGGGACGGTGAAGGCGAGATCGGCGGTGGTGACAGTGTAGAGGTCGAGGGTGAGGACGGGGCATGGGTCGGTGACCAGGGCTTTCATTTCGACAGTGTCGACGAGAGGCTCGGTGAGGGCGACATCCTTCATGGGGGAATAGTCAAATCCGTAGACGTTGTCCCAGACTGATGTGGGGTTAGCTACGGATCAAAACGAACGAGGGAGTGGGGTATCTATGAACAAAACGTACATCCAATCTTATCGTCCTTATATTCACCATCTTCAATAGCGGCAAGGTAGATGGTAGCCTTGTCGGGGAAGATCTTTCCGCCAGGAACGAGATAGGTGTCGCGAGCATACAGAACGGTGTCAAGCATGCTTTCGTACAAAAGGAAATATCCCATCCACTCGGAGATAATGATATCCACCTTGGGGAATGGGAGATTTACTTCCTCCATCTTGCCCTGGAGAAGGGTGATCTTGCTCGTCATACCGTTTGCCTCCACGATCTCGCGGGCCTTCTCGATGATGGAAGACATATCTACACCGATAACATGCTTGGCTCCTGCGCGGACAGCAAACCTGGAAAATAAAATAGTCAGCCTCTTGCTTTGCTGTGGATAAGCCAATAAAGAATAAATTGGTCACATACATGCTGAGAATACCAGTACCGCATCCGACATCAAGGACGACCTTGTCCTTGAAGATGTGACGATTTTGGTAAATGGCATCGCGGTATGATCGTGTGCGGACTTCATCTTTCTATGGGAACAAAGGTAAGATATTAGCATTTGATAAAAATTATATTTGTGGATTCTAGGGAAAAGTATTTCACTCACAAGCATCTCCTCATGAATGCCTATCGTATGTATCGCTTGTCAGTCCTGTGTTTGAGATATTGGGATGGTGAGGATCAATTTACCATGGTGGTCGTAACTATTACACTCAGTTAGAAGTTTTCAAGACAGAATATCCATGGGAGAAGCATACCTCGTAAAATAGCGAACCTCTGCGTGGTCCATTCCCGCCATCCGGTCCGCGCTGGACGCCGGGGTGGTAGCCTCGATGGCCATCTCGTTGGAACCTCCGTTCATGGTGGGGGATTAGATAGAAGATAAAAAGAGATATTAAGCTCGAGAGGTGAGCCTAGGGAGGAGATAGGTGTGGGATAAAAAGCAGACAAAGAAAGGTACTGCTACTTTTCAAAAAAAAGAATATATCAGAACCTGAGGGGGGGGGGTCAGGCAAAAAAATACAGACTCTGGGTTAGATTTTGCGATGAGGGCCGGCGCAGGCGGGCACTAACCTCAAACAGGCTAGCGGCTTGGCATACTGACGGCGGGCCAGATTCGGCGTTTACTAGGGCTAGCCGGATCGTGCCCTACATTGCCGCATTGGGATATAAGGTAGAGAGGGTGGGTTCTGCCAAATCTACGGGCAATTAGCTCAGTGGTAGTAGCGCTCGCTTTGCATCTTCCTAATCTGCGAGAGGTCGGGATTTCGACTATCCCATTGTCCAGATTTTTTTGTTTTTTTTTTAATTTTTTCCGTACAGTACAGCGTCTCCGAAGCTGTGCTGTAACGTTCATTCGTGTGGCAGGCAGCCTTGCGGATTTGTTGATTGCTTCCTGGCATTTCTCCCATCCAAAGTTGGGGGGCAGGACTGGCACAATCTGCCGCTTCTGACCGCCTTGATAGCTGCCAAATAATTGTCTGCGCGCCCATAGGCATCACTTTTATTCCTCACAGCAACCATGGTGTCCACAGCCAGCAGGCGGCCGATCTATCGGCTGTTTCTAGCTTTTATTTTTGTGATATTTTTAATTGGCCGGGCGAGCGCGTCCCTGGGAGATAGACTGCCCGATTTTAAGGAGTGTGTGAGGGTAGGTCATCTCCTTATCGATCTATATAAGCCGGAACACACGGATTGACGACAGGCGGGATAGATATGCAAGGACGAGAATTGTGAAAAGGAACAGGCTTCATTGCGTATGTTCCTCCAACAATAACCCCGATCGGGCAATATCTGTTCACCACTGACCTCTTCCAGCCCTGCATCTCAGTCTCCTTCTCTGGGACTGCCCTTCAGAATGCGACTACACCTGCCAGCATATCATCACGGACCGCCGTGTTAACCGAGACCCTCCCATGCTCGATCCCATCGTCCAATTCCATGGCAAATGGCCATTCTACCGAATACTAGGCATGCAGGAACCGTTTTCCGTCCTCTTCTCCTTTCTGAACTTTATGGCGCATTACCAAGGAATGGGACGGATTCGGGAGTCGATACCAAATTCATACCCGCTGCGGAAATATTACCTGGCTTTCGGATATTTCGGTCTGGCTAGCTGGGTCTTTAGCATGATATTCCACACTCGAGATTTCCCCGTGACGGAAAAGCTGGATTATTTTGCTGCTGGCGCGAGCGTGTTGTATGGGCTATACCTTTCGGTTATCCGAATATTCCGGCTCGACCAGCCGCGACCTCATTTCAAACCTACCTTGCGCCGGCTCTTGACAACCACTTGTATAGCGCTCTACCTTGCCCATGTTTCCTACTTGAGCTTTTGGTCGTGGGATTATACATACAACATGGCAGCAAATGTTGCCGTGGGGGTGGTGCAGAACTTGCTGTGGACGTGGTTCAGTATTACACGATATAGGAGGCAACTCAAGTCGTGGACAGCGTGGCCGGGCATGATTGTTGCGTGGATTATCATGGCCATGAGCCTGGAGCTGTTGGACTTCCCGCCGTGGGAAGGGCTGATTGATGCCCATAGCCTTTGGCATCTGGGGACGGTGATACCCACTGCGTGGTGGTATTCGTAAGTTGGCCCGGTATTTGTTCTCAGTATGGCTACATGGCTAATCGGGTGGTTGGCATTAGATTCCTTGTCAAAGACGCGCAGGATGACATCGCGGGAGAGCGATTGAAGGCCTAGCTGTGAGCGTGTTTAGCCGTGTAGCGGGAGTTCGGTTCACAGATGCCATGGGATATATAGTTGTTATTGGGAACGTGCACAGGGATAACAGCGGCTCTAATTTAAACGGTACAGATTTAGGATTTTTGGAGATCAATGCAAGTCTTTTTTTGGAATGGTGGATATTTTGATCCTTTCACGCTTACTCTGTTTCAACTGCCAACGAGTACTCTCACCAACACCAACACCCACTGGCAACAATTCATCCTGCCCCCTTCCTGTACGGCTGAAAGAGGGCTGATGCAACAGACAAACCCTGCAAACACACCGCAAGCGGCTAGCGCCCTCCAGCCACATGACCTGCCGAGGTCGGTGCCAGCCGCTTTCGACTAACCCAATCAGGTTAGTTCGTTAGTGATGCTCAGCTTACTCAGCCACACCAACCGCCTCACCCCTCCATCCAACTGTTGGTTTCCCTGCTACTTAACCACGCCCATTTCCCCCTCTTGACAACCACTGGTTGTTGCTAACTGGTTCATCTTCTACCCGCAATTAGCCATGGCGTCCCCAATGGTCAAGAAAGCCATCACCGAGGCTGCCGCTGCCTACGTCAAGCCAGATGGCAAGGTGTTCGAGTATGGTACAGCGGGGGTGAGTACCTCCTGGCTGCTGATAGGAGACCAGCATATGCTGACAAGTACTGACAATGCTTGCCTGCAGTTCCGCATGAAATCGTAAGGCCTACCGCTGCTTCTCACCTTCTACTGCCCCATCCATCGACAATCCTCTTCCACTTCGTTGAGTCACCGCAATGCTCATGCTTCTGTGGCCTCTAGGGATGTCTTGAATACTGTTGTATTTGCCGTGGGGCTGCTGGCTGGGCTCCGTTCGAGAAAGCTCAACGGCCAGAACATTGGCTTGATGATCACTGCCAGTCACAACCCGCCTGAAGACAATGGCGTCAAGCTTGTCGACCCAATGGTAGGTGGTCCATGATATGGTGACCTTGAGGATTGCCAGTACGCTGACACATGTTTTGTTTATTTAGGGTGAGATGTTGGAGGTACGTTGTGCTCATCGGTATCGACTGCATCGATCAAGTGACTTATTCCCCCTTTCGTAGGCTGAATGGGAACAATACGCAACGAGATTAGCAAATACCCCGCTCGACCAACTGGCAGATGTATACAGCGAACTTGTCGAGGAGATTGAAATCAAGATGGACAACCCTGCTCGCGTTGTTTTCGCCCGGGATACCCGTGCCTCGGGCTCTCGCCTGGTGGGCGTGCTTGCTGCGGCCCTCAAGGCCACCGAGGTCGATTATACTGATTTCAAATATCTGACTACCCCGCAACTCCACTACATCGTTCGCTGCAAGAATACTCTGGGAACCCCATATGAATATGGTGAACCAACCGAACAAGGATACTACGAGAAACTCGCTGCTGCATTCAAAAAGGTTATGAAAGGGCGCACTACAACTGGGGCTGTGACGATTGACTGCGCTAACGGCGTTGGCGGCCCCAAGCTGAGAGAGCTGATCAAATATCTGCCAAACGCCCAGGAAGGTGGCGTGGATATCAACGTTGTCAACGATAACGTCATCAATCCCGACAGCCTTAATGTCGATGTAAGGTCTATTCAGTCATATTTTGCAATTATTGGCTAATGATTTGTCTCCCAGTGTGGTGCGGACTATGTAAAAACCAAACAGCGTGCACCACCATCCTCCAAAGCTGGGGTGGGCGACCGCTGCGCTTCCTTGGACGGCGACGCGGATAGATTGGTATATTATTATCTGGACGCTGGCAATGTTTTCAAGCTTCTCGACGGTGATCGCATCGCGACTCTTGCCGCATCCTTTATTGGTGAATTGGCAAGGAATGCAGGAATCGGGAGCAAGCTTAAGATCGGCGTCGTCCAGACCGCCTATGCCAACGGCTCGAGTACCGAATATATAGAAAAAGTTCTCAAGCTCCCCGTCGTCTGCACACCCACTGGAGTGAAGCACCTTCACCACGCCGCCCTAAGATTCGACGTGGGCGTGTATTTCGAAGCCAACGGCCACGGCACCATCACCTTCTCCGAGCAGGCCCTCAAGACCATCAAATCCACCGAACCCCAATCACCAGCCCAACAATACGCTTTGGAAAGCCTTATCGCGCTAACGGACCTCATCAACCAAGCCGTTGGCGACGCCCTATCGGACATGCTCCTTGTCGAGGTAATCCTCGCCCACAAGGGCTGGAGCTGCAAGGAATGGGTATCAACATACACCGACCTCCCATCACGCCTCGTTCGTATCGAAGTAGCCGACCGATCTATCTTCAAGACCGTCGACGCGGAGCGGAAACTCGAATCCCCCGCCGGGTTGCAGGCGCGTATTGATGCTCTCCAGTCCCGGTACAACAAGGGCCGGAGTTTTGCCCGTGCTAGCGGCACGGAGGATGCTGTTAGAGTGTATGCGGAGGCCGCGACTCGGTCGGAAGCCGACGATTTGGCTACGCGCGTCGCGAGCTCTGTACAGGATGCTGGCAAGATTGCGAAGACTTTGCAGCCGTGAGCCCATCGTCGAGCGGAATTGAATATACAATTGATAGAACATTGCTGATACCCCACTACTGTTTTGCCTTGACATGTGTTCTTGAGCTGCAGATGCGCGCTGAGAAGTTAAAACAGGGGAGAGAAAAAAAAAGGAACGGAAAACAGTACAGCAAGAAAGAAGAGAGAAAGTTTCTCTTTCAATGAACTAGCTAATGATGGGCATCTTTTTGTATGGTTATCGGATTTCCCCCTCCATATCTGCCCACTTTGTCTCACTGGATTTAATGAGGATGAGTGATGAAAGTTTAAAAATGGATATGAGAATGAAAAACAAAAAACATATAAAAAGGCAAAAAATGGCAAAAAAGGGGGAAGAGTTTTCAAAGAGGAAGGAGACTTTCATTCCCCGATTATATCGTCTCATGTAGTTGGTAATAATGATAAATACTACGGCTGTCGTCTCTTCATAAAACGTTCTTGAATTCAAAATAGGGGGACATATAATTCATACCAACTTCCCGATGCTTGTTGCAATTATGATAGCATCTGCTCTCCTTACGGCATGAGAACAGTCGTTAGAAAACTGAGATAAACAACCTTGATTTTTCTTAGGACCCATACGTTCGCTAAGTAGCAAAAAAAAAAAAATGCATGCAACCCACCACATAAAATATACCATACACACGAACTCAACCCAATCTGCTTACACTAGATAATCTACTACCCCTCCTCCCGATCCATATCATCCCTCCCCCTCTTCGCCCCGCCCTTCGCCGGCCGTCTCCCCCTCAACGTCGCCCCCCTCGACCCCCTCTTCTCATGCAAATCCTTCATCTCCGTAACCGCCTGCCTCTGCGCATCCCCCACCCTCTCACTCAACACCATCACCTCCTCCTTCTCCACCGCATACTCATCAAGCTTCTTCCCCAGCGCCGTCTCGATCCGCATCCACACCTCGACATCATACTGCGTGACCAGACTGATCGCATGGCCGGACTTGCCTGCGCGCGCCGTGCGGCCGACGCGGTGGATATACGTCTTGCTATCGGGGGGC